GTATATATATATATATATATATATATATGTGGGATGCGGAGCGCGCCATGAGGCAAAGTGTGACCTCCATGATTGCATTCTCTCCTCTTTGTACGTGAACGGGGCTGTGCCTTGGCCAGCGGTGGGTATTCCCACTTTTTCTACGCTTTCCCTTCTGACGTCCGTTTTTTCCTTTCTTGTCCTTTTTTTTTGCCGTTTTCTTGGTTTGCTTTGGGGGGAGGTGCCTGTGGGAAATGCGTTTGCTTCGCTTTCTGTTATTTATATCTTTTTTTGTTTGTTTTATCTTCTGCTTGAAACACTTTTTTCTTCATTTGTTGCATCTCTCCATTGTGTGGTTCTTGCCGTTATTGGTTGGCCGCCGGAAATGCATGCGTGTGAGTGGGTGGGTGCGTATATTATTTTATTGCAGTCATGAGAGGAAGGGCCCTTGTGAGGGGGCTGCTCCGACGCCCCTCCGTGTGCGCCCTTCTTGGCAGCAGCATGCCGCGCGGCACGACGATTTTTGCGGTGGCCACGCGCCCCTACATGCCGCTTCCGAACGACCAGAGTGAGTTTTCTCCCTACATTGAAATTGACTTGCCCAGCGAGAGCCGCATTCAGGCGATACATAAGAGCGGTCTCGGGGCACAGGAGTGGGTGGCCTGCGAGAAGGTGCACGGCACCAATTTCGGCATTTACCTCATCAACCTTGGGGAGCAGGAGGTGGTGCGCTTTTCGAAGCGGAGTGGAATTATGGACCCCAACGAGAACTTTTTTGGGTACCACATCCTCATCGACGAGTTCTCCGCACAGGTCCGCATTTTGTGCGATCTGCTAAAGCAAAAGTACGGGCTAAGTCGTATTGGGCGCGTCGTTCTCAACGGTGAGCTCTTTGGGGCAAAGTATAAGCATCCACTGGTGCCCAAGAGTGAGAAGTGGTGCACGATGCCGAACGGGAAGCGGTTTCCCATCGCCGGTGTGGAAATTCAGCGGGAGCCATTTCCGCAGTACAGTCCAGAGCTTCACTTCTTCGCCTTTGACATCAAGTACTCTGTGAGTGGGGCGGAGGAGGACTTTGTCATGCTTGGCTACGATGAATTTGTGGAGTTTTGCTCCAAGGTGCCGAATCTACTGTACGCCAAGGCCGTTGTCCGCGGAACGCTCGACACTTGCCTGGCGTTTGATGTGGAAAACTTCAACACCCCGCTGCCAGCCCTGCTGGGGCTTGGCAACTACCCGCTTGAGGGGAATCTCGCGGAGGGCGTCGTCATACGTCACGTCCGGCGCGGCGACCCGGCGGTTGAGAAGCACAATGTTGCAACTATCCTGAAGCTGCGCTGCTCCAGCTTCATGGAGCTGAAGCACCCGGGAAAGCAGAAGGAACTGAAGGAGACATTTATTGACACCGTGCGGACAGGGGCACTGCAGCGTGTGCGTGGGGATGTGACGGTGATTGCTGACTCCATGCTGCCGCAGGTGGAAGCCGCCGCAAACAACTTGCTGTTGAACAACGTCAGCGACGGTAGACTGAGCAACGTGCTCTCCAAGATTGGGCGGGAGCCGCTGCTCTCCGGCCAGGTCTCAGAAAAGGATGTTGCTCTGATGCTTGCCAAGGATGCTCTAAAGGACTTTCTCAAGGAGGTGGATGTCTTGGTGCTCAATACGAGTCTCTCGTTCCGAAAGATGCTTATTTCGAACGTCTACTTTGAGTCGAATAAGCTTGTAGCGCAGAAGTGGAAGGAGCTCATAAAGGAGGAGGCGGCAGCACAGCAGGAGGCGGAGACGGCTGCATTGAGGGAGCCCCAAGCAACGGCTTGAGTGCAATCCTTACATAATGTGTACAGACATACATACAAATCCATTCAGGCATGCGTGTGCATTCGGTGCACGTCTATGCTGGCTGGCCTGCGTGTCTGTGAGCATCACATTGTGTTCATTATTCTTCAGAGTTTTGTGGGCGGTGGGCACAGAGAGGAGCTGCGAGCAGGTTTTTTATTATTCCTCGTGTTCCCCCTTTCTTTTATGCCCGACGTTCAGCGTGGTTTTCCACTGCTGGCGCTGCCTTTGCACCGCCCCCACTTTTTTTTTTTTTTGTTTCCCGCCTCTGCGTCTCTCAGAATCGTCTAGTCGTTTCAAAGCAATCCCCTCTCTCTCCCTTTCCTCCCGCTGCTGCTGCCCCGCCGCTACAGGGGAGAGGATCGTGGGAGTAACGGTGGTATAGGTGCCACGAGTAAGTGACAGGGACCACTGTTGGCGGGGGACTGCAGTTGTGTGAGTGCCGACAAGAGACATATATATATATATATATATATATATGCCAATGATGGCCTTCACGGAAACTACGGCATTTCACTCACCGACGTTGGACGAGGGGGAGACTCCGCGAGAAGAGGACTCAACTGACTCTAGACTCAGCAGCCGCTGTCGCGGCAACAAACATCGGCAGATGGGAAAACACTGCGGAAATGACGGGATCAGCGTGTTTCTTCTCTCCACACATCACATTCCACACGCTTTGCAGCCGTATGCGCCCACCGCGTCGGTGTCAGCAAGGCTGGTTGAGCAGTGCCTCTGGAATTATCGAGACACCCTCTTTTTGGCGCGTGAATATGTCCACACGACAGAGGCAGAGAACACACAGCTCCGTATGCATCTGCTGCAGTTACAACAAGAGGCTGCAGATGGGAAGAGAGGTACCACAGACACGCCGGGTTCGGCGGCTTCATTTCCCGTGGAGAAACAACTGTGGGAGATCATGTTGCGTGACCACGGCAAACATCCGCTTCTTCCTTCGGAGTCGCTACGCTATCAACAGATTCTGCAGGATATGAAGCACCTGGCTCGAGGGGTACTGGTCCCCATTGAAATCCTGCGGCATCGCAATCATTGGCTGCTGTTACAGGAGGATGTGCAACTGAATTTAGCGGGCCGTCTCTTTCACTATCGTGTGGTGCTGCGACAGTCCCCGCCACCGATGATGGTAAGACGCCTTTGGTGCGATTTGTGGTCACTGCTCGGCGCGGCGTGGCGGCAGCGGCAGCGGCTTATGGGGGCATACGCAGAGGGCATTCCACCCGTTGACCTTAACGGTGATGTGTCGCAGCTCCCGCCCGCCTCTTCCACGCCACTCTTGTTGCGTGATGCCCATCGTGCAAAGCAGCAAGTGGACGCCAAAAGTAGCTTCCACCGTGAGGGCGGTTTGGCACGTGACGCACGAAGGGCTTTTGGGGCAGAGCGGGGTGGGGAGGGTGACGACCTCGCCTTTGGGCCGTTGCTTCCGCATCGGGTGGGTGTCACGACGTCGCGCCACTACGCCATCCGCGTTCCATTGTTTTCTTTCCTCAGCTCTCTGCGTGTGCGGGTGGGAGAGGCCGCTGCCACGACCTCGACAGTCAGGTTAAACAGCAGTGGGAGAGGCAAAAACGCCGTTCCTCGCAGTGACTCCCCGACGTCGCAGAGCAGCAGTCCCACCCATTGCGCTGCGTTTGCGTCTGCGTCTTGCGCCGAGGATGCGGCTCTGCCCAACGTGCCGTTTTTTGACACTACGGTAGAAGAGGTGGAGGCGTGTCGGGTGCCATACCTCTCACCAGAGTGGTTTGTGCGTTTGCGTTCGCGGGCCAAAGGCGACTTACACGGGTGGGACGGGACTGCTGTGCTACACTCCTACTCAGATGATGCATGGAACATCGCCGTGTTGGCGCTGGAGTTCATGCTGACCGGATTTCCACTTGCCAAGAGTTGCTGCGGCCACCCTGACTCCTCCGATCCGCCAACCTCGTCTCTGTTTGACGATGTTGTAAAGCTCCTGGTAACGTCTCACAGTGTGCCGCTCGAGGCGGCGCAGAACTTTCTTTACGCGGCACTTCATGAGTTATCGCTGCTGCTTCGTCAAAATACTCCTGACGTTTTAACGATGACGTCGGATGACGACGGTCACGCGGAGTCCGCACCTTTGCCGCGACGTCTGGCACAAGAGTGGCACAGCTATCTGACGAGGACGTATGGTGGGGTTGACGGTGACAGCACTACTATGGTTCATGGTGGTAATGGTGAGGGTAGTATTTTCCGCGACATTGCGGAGAGTGGACTTCGATGGTCCCGCCGTGATCGATGGAAGGCATTCCAGGAAGCACATGCTCTTTTTCTTTCTGACGCCGTCGAAGGCGGTTCTGCAGCAGGCGAGCGTGGCGGTGGTGGTGATGACGCTGGTATCACGGTGGATGCCGCCCAGCGTGTTCTAGGCGGTTTGGTAAGCCCTCTGATGCCACTTCATCCGACTCTGTGCGCTGCGGCAGCGAGGAGTGGCGTTGGGGCAGAGACTTTTATGAAGAACCAGCCGGCGATGGCACCCCCACCGAAACTCTCCTCCCCATCTCTGTGGGATGTGCAGACCCGCCTGCAGGTTTGGCGGCATAACGTTGAGCAGCACGCCATGGTAGAAGGAGGCTGTCGGAGGGATATTGAGGCGAGGCGGAACGTTGTGTTCAGAGAGTTTGTTTACGTCGTGCGACGGATCCTCCAGCAACGTCTCCGTGAACTGCGGCCCGATGTGGAGAAAAAGGAAGAGGCTGCGCCGATTGGTCCCCCACGTCGAAGCCTTTTTACCAAGGCGTCCTTCACTAATGGGGGTAACTTGTCGCAGTCGGCTGTGCAGCACGGACTGCTGCGAGGGTTGATAGAGCGAGGTGCACTCTTTGCATACTGCACCAACGAATGCTGTGCCGGTGACGGCACTCCTCCAATTCCGCATGGCGGGGGTGAAGGTTCACAGGATGAAGGCGAGGCTGAGGATGACGGTTCCCCCCCGGTGTTTCCCTTTTCGCAGGTGTTTCTCCCCACAGAGGAGCTTTTGGGATTACTGCACAGCGATGTGGTGTTACTGAACTCCGCCTTTCCCGCAGTTGGTGCGGTGAGGAGTGCCCTTGACACTATTGTCGGACCACAATGTGCGGCCAAGTCGCGGGTGTCGCAGCCTCTCTCACCTGCTGCGTCAAAGGCGGGGTGGCTGAAGAGTGCCAAGCGGGTCATCCGCGAAGTTGATTTGAGCGTCGCACAACAACTCGCAATAATCGCGGAGCTGCGGTGCCTTCTGTACAGTGCCCCACTTGAGAGACGCGCGTTGCGGATGCGACGTTACCTCGCGGAGATGCGGGCGGCCGGAGCAAGCCCGTACGTGCCTGTGCCACCCACACTTCGTGGGGAGGTCTGGGGCGTGCTCCTTCAGGTGCCGCCGGAAACCGCACGTGGCGCCACATACTGCGCGCTTAACACCTCGTGCATCTCCGCCTTTGATCGACAGCTGGCCGTTGACATTCCTCGATGTCATCAGTATCATCCTTTGCTAGCAACGACGGAGGGGCATGAGCGAATGCGACGTGTCATTAAGGCCTGGTTACTGATGAACCCCGGGATGGCGTATTGGCAGGGGATGGACAGCGTCTGCGCGGTTCTCCTTGCTGTCAGCTTCACAAATGAGGCGCTTGTGGCAGCGCAACTGCAGCAGTTGACACTGCATTACATCCCACACGATGCCGTTGCATCCTCGCCGTCAGGTGTACAGAGCATGGAGGAGCGTCTGCATCAGTTTGCAGTGATGCTGCGGTACTGTGACCCGCGTTTAGCGTTTCACCTTCTTGATGAAGTGGAATGCCGCCCGGAGTTGTTTGCAATTAGCTGGTTCCTCGCTCTCCTAGCACACGGGTTACCAGTGGGGAAGGTGTGTCTGTTGTGGGATTTTCTTTTTGTCTACAGCGAGGCGTCCCCGCACTGCCTCACGGCCTTGTGCCTTGCGGTGCTGCTGCAGCAGCGGGAACGGCTACTGGGAAATGACTTCTCCGTCTGCCTCTCCACACTGAGCCGTTTACGGGACATCGACGTTCATCTACTGCTGCATGACGCGGCACTACTGTTACGTTCTGTGCCGCCCGCCTTGGCGTTGCTGTCACTCCGCGCCGGCGAAGTGCGGCGCTGCGGAATTTTGCTTGTGGATGTCCAGACAATCCTTCGGGTGTTTAACAGCCGATTGTTGCGGGGTGCAGAGGACTCGGCGGAGACGGCGTGGGCGCCGTCAGGGCTGTTTCTTGTGGACCTGCGCACACACCGTGAGACGACGACAGGGCTGCCGCAACGAGGCACACGCGTGGAGGAGCGTGTCGTAGGGGCGCTGCTTTTTCCCCTCGTGGCGCCACCCGCGCATAACGACGACACAAGCGCCACGCAACCGTCGCAGCGACTCGTCGCCCAACAGGCTACCGAGCTTCTGCTGCAGCTCGACAACATGGCAATGGCGGCGCTTCCACCGTCCTCGGCAACAGCGCCAGAAGCAAGGCCATCGACATCAGCAGAAGAGTTGGAAACCGAAACACTGGCTCCGCCACTGCCGGCGGTAGCGACAGGAGCAGAAGAGCCGGTGGATGGTCCGTCCACCGCGCTGCGGGAGTGTGCGGCGAGTCCCCACGTTGTTTTGTTTACTCGGTCGATGACACCCTGCGAGACGACGGCGGCTGAGTCACTTGCACTTGAGCTAGTGCGATGCGGCACACCGCATGTGTCTATTTTGCTGGGTGGGTTTCTGGAGCTTCGGCAGGAAGCCCCACACCTCGTCGTTGAGGTGGAGGAGGATTGAGTAGAGCCCTCATTCCCTCCCAACATGTTCTCCCCTTTTGGTTCACTTGCAGCGCCGTTGCGGGCATACCTTCAGGCACGTTTTTTTTCCTGTCGATGCCTTGCACAGGGGTAAGCTACTTGCCGGTGTGTGTGTGTGTGTGAGCCTACGCGTCTCACCACCCACGTTGTTGTCGGTCATGTTTTTTTTCCGGCTCTTTTTTTTTTTGTATTGCCTTCTTTGCCTCTTATTCTTTTATTCTTTTCTTCTCTGTACGTCTATTCCTCTCGGGCGGCCCTGCCACATCCGCGCTGAAGGGGAAAGAAAAGAGAAGGAGGGTGCCATTCTGCTTGCAGGGTTCGGAGGCGGAAGCTGGGAGAGCGGGGGTCACTCGCAACGCGGGAGAAGCCACGGGAGATGATTCACCTTTTGTGCACTACCGAGAGCGGTGAGAGCTGCACAATTGAGATTGATCCGCGCTCGCTCGTGGAGGACATGGCGGCGCTCATTGAGGTGGAGTTGGGCATACCAATGCTGGAGCAGGTGCTCATTGCGGACGACGACACAGTGCTTCAAGGCAATATGACCCTAGCGTCTCAGGGTATCTGTGCGGACGCAAGCGTAAGAGTGATACATAGCGCCAGAACTCACGATGAAGGACGCCCCCGCCAACGGGGTGAAGGTGAAGGAACTCCGGTAGATGCACTGCCGTCGCCGGGGCCAGAAGCACACGCGGTCCGGCAGCAAGGCCCCGCGAGGGAAAGACAGCTGCACCAACACGGACTTGACTCTGGACATGCACCTACTTCAGAAGATTCACAACGAGGGCATTCCGCTGCATTGAAAGATCATCGTAGCTTTCCTCACTTACCAGGTGAGGCACGCGCGCGAATCGAGCAGTTGTTTGCCCAGGGACCGGGGCAGTTGTCTGGGGGGGCGCCGTTGCGGGAGTCGGATCCGGAGGTTCAGCGCCGCATCTACGAGGCTATTTACTGGGAAAACGTTAATGAAAACCTTGAAAGTGCGTATGAGTTCATGCCAGAGTTTTTTGTGCAGGTGCCAATGTTATTTGTGAATTGTGAGGTCAATGCGGTGAAGGTCAAGGCCTTTATTGACTCTGGGGCACAGCGGTCCATCATGAATCGCCGCACGGCAGAGCACTGTGGACTGATGCGACTGCTTGACACGCGTGCGGCAAGCATCATGCGAGGCATAGGCGTGCGGCGGACACTTGGCGTCATTCACATGGTGATTGTAAATCTTGGTGGCCTTCACGTCCCCTTATCTCTGACTGTCATCGATGACGATAAGATAGACTTTATTATTGGCCTGGACCAGATGAAGCTGCACCGCATGATTATCGACTTGCGGGACAACTGCCTGAGGGTTGCGGACACCCAAATTCCGTTCCTACCAGACTCCGAGGTACCTGATTTTGTCACTGGGAACGAGGTGGTGGACGAGGATGCACAGGAAGAGGAGGCGAAGCAGCAGCAGCGCGGGACTTCAAAGCCTTTGGCAACGGCATCGACGCTAGCCAAGGGGTTGAAGACAAAAGGCCAACCCGATCGACAAGCAAACATGGAAGGGATGGGACGAGCTACAGTGACGTCCACCACCAACGCCAGTGGTGCAGGAAGTACACCTGCGCAAGGCCCCGCGGCTTTCGTAGATAAGGAGCGGGCCATTGCGGCGGTGATGACGTATACAAGGATGGATCGAGAGGGCGCTGTCACGTTGCTGGAGGCGGCTGGCTGGAACGTCGATTTGGCCGTGTCACTCTTTATTGGGGAGTAGGCGGTGCTGCCTAGTGTAGTTGCCCCTTTCTCCTAATAAAATGCCAAGCAAGCAAGGGGACTGAGAATGAGAGAGAACGCGATGAGGGAAAAGAAAATAAAGATATAATGAATCTGTAGAAGTGCGAGATGAGAGTGAGTGAGTACGTTGTGGTGATTCACATAGTTGTATGATTATATATATATATATAATACACACACATGTAGCAGTTGCTCTTGAGGCACTGCGTTCTGCTTCATTGTTATTTTTTGCCTTTTGCTGCGAGCTGTGCTCTTGGAGGAATAAAGGGACTTTGCCATTAGCCGCTGTGGCAAGCAAGCACACATATACATTATATATATTATATACTTACCATCTAGGCGGGTCGCCCATATACGTTGGCGTACACCGCGCCCCTCCCACCCACGTCTTCCTGCTCGTGCAATGGCCAGCAAACTTCCAGCAAGCTCTCCTATGAAGAACAGCCGCGGGTTGCTCTTTAACCGTTACACACACCCATTGACCACTGCATCAAGCAGTGTGGGCAGAGAAGTGCGAGATAACGTGGTGTTTTCTGCGCAACATGATGATTCTACCGCTCCTGCCGCCATGCCGGAGCTGAACCTGGATGAGACGATGCGCGTACGTGATGTGTTTTCGGAGTTAGTTCAGGACGAATATATTACCTCGCTGTTTGTCTTACGGGTGGTGCTCTCCCACTTTGGCATGTACCCCTCTGATGAAGAGCTGTCTCTGCTGCTGAGTGTCTACGAGAATAAGATAAGTGTCACTAATCTCTGTCACTATCTGCGCTTCTACAAACGGGAATTTGAGCTAGATGCACAGATGCGCCGCGGCGAGAATCAGAAGGGAGCCACACGGGAAGAGAGTGAAGACACACTGCGGGCCTTCGTATCGCTCGGTGGTGATGAGGACGGCAGAGGTTCCGTAAAGGTAGAGGATTTGCGCCACGTGTGCCGTGAGTTCGGCCTCACCATTGACATCGACTCGATGCTCATCGGTGTCGTGGACCTTGAGAATCAGAGCTCACTGAACTACGCCGAGTTCTGCGATATGTGGCGTTCCCGATTTCGCCAGCGTGAAATGGGCTCCATGACTTCGGCGCTGGAAAGTCAGCTTGACGTCCGCGGTGCTCTGCGTGTGCTTGGCATGGATGAATCCTCCATGCTGCAATGTAACACTCTGAGCCGTGGAGAAAGTTCTGTTGCACTGCGGGATGATACGGGGGTGGAAGGGTACAAGTTCCCTCAGAACGTCGATACCGTTTCCTCTGGGAAACGGCAACAAGATATCGCTGATAAAATCTCACAGTCGGAGGCGAACCACATCCAGGCTCTTAAGCGCTTCCTTGTTTTGGGGACTGCTGCCGGTGCCATGTCATCGGATGCTCTGCCGTCGATTAAGCGCAAGTTGGGTCGCCGCCAGTCCACGCTGCTGGCACTCCATATAGCGGCACTGGCGGAGCCTGACCGACGGCGTAGTTGCGCCCCCGCCCGCGAAGAGGCTGCTAACGCAGGTGGTGGTGGTGGTGGTGGTGGTGGTGTGTCTGGCGTCAACGAGGACGCGGGCCTGCCCGCATTGACAGGGGCAACTGGGGGCGGTTATCGTGCCCCAAGCCCGATGATTCTGTCGCTGCGCAACAGCGCCGCCTACAAGCGGCGACTGCTGGCATTCGCGCAAAAGTCAATGAAGAAGGCGAGGGACCGCGGCTCGAGTGTGTGGACGCGCTTCCTGTCCGTCTCGCCTGACGAGGGTAGTGGCCGTAGCTGACGGGTTGGGAAGCAATTGACGCGAAGGCCAGAGAGAAGGCAACAAACGAAAAGGAAAAGAAAAAACAAACCGATGCGTGATAATTGAGTGCGTCGCCCATGTATGTATGACTGCTTACGGTAGAACCAGCCTCAAATTCTCTGGAAGGGCGTGGACCAGCAGGGGGAATCACCACGTGCAGAAGGAGAAAAAGCGTGCAACCCACAAAGTGGGGGGTGGGTGGGGAATGATGGAAACTGAAGGAGGGGGCAGGGATATATGTATACTAGAGGAAGAAAAAAACATCAACTACAGAGAGGGTGGAAAGAAAGACAGACTCCCTTTGCTTGATGATGATGATGTAGCTCGGTTGCTTGGTGGCTGCCTATGTGCGACAAATGAAAGGAAGATAAGGAACATCATAGACAAGTTTTTTGTTCTTCTTCCGACTTTTTATTATTATTTTGCCTTCTGGTTGGTTTCTTTCTGTGGGGTGGGGGCTGCGGGGCCTTCACCAGCAGTAGCGACAGTATCGTCGTCGTCGTCGTCGTCCTTTTTTTCTTGCGTTGCACGTCAAATTGGAAGCGCCTCTTCCTGCGTGGTCGGCTCACAGGGGGCTGAAGCACCTCAGTTATGCCGCCCCGAAGGTTGGCTGCACGCCGTGGGATGATTGCGGAGCCTCATAGCTTTTCCACGGGCACCCGGCCACGCCGGCAGTCGCGATTGCCCCTCTTTCACGAACTCTTCGTCCCGTCATTGTCACCGCTGTCACCATCATCAGCGCCATCTTTCTCCGCATCTAAGCCGCCAAACCGTTTTCTAGTGCGCAACGTCCGTGTGGATCCTCCGCTGGGTGTGTCGACGGATGCCCCACTATTTAATCAGACCGGGACGGAGGATGACGCCAGTCCGCTCGGATGGCTCTGTCACAATCTTCGGCTGCTGGAAGAGGGGGAGAACGCGCGGGAGAAGCGTAGGGCGAGTATGCCAGAGGGAAGTCCACAGTGGCCGCGCTACATGTTTTCCCCTTTTTGCTGTGGCTATATCTACGATCCTTCAAACGACTCTAAGCTCGCGTTTGTTACCCCGGACAACTACTGTCACTTGTGCCATGAACCTGTGGATGTGGCGATTCGACACTGCGCCTGGTGGGACCACGTGACACGGCTGGTCGCTATTCGTTTGATTGCGATTCATCCCCGTCGCTGGGATTCTGCCACACTTTTACATGAGGCGAAAGGGCTGCTCCCCGCCGCTGTTATGGCGGAGCCCCGACCCCATCCTTTTCTGCCTCTCTCAGCAACGGTGGACCCTGATGACTCCTCTTTGATGGACATGCGTTCGTGTTACGTATTTGAGAGGGAGTCAGTTGTACGGCGAGCCGAGTTGGCAGCAATCCTGCGCGTCCTGTGTGACGCAAATGACGCGGACAGCTGCAGTGATGCGGAGCAGCGTCGCCAGTCGATCGTGCCTGTGCTGCGGGAGTCATTGGTGCTCTCACCGAATGGGAGCCCTGCAGCTAACTTGGGGGAACGAACCTTTCGGGCGTACATTAGCCGGCAAATGAGTGTGGCGCTACCGCCCATGGCGCCGGAGCCCACGACGCGGATACAGCAGCGTTGTTGGGGGCGGAAAAACCTGGAGATCATGTTTGACCTTCTTGGGGTGGCCTCCCTGCAGCGCCTTGTTGGGGCGCCTAGTGTGGCGGAGACAAAGAACGAAAAAGCGACAGTTCTTCGGCAGGTCATCTACGAACTGGCGACGGCTCTCTCAGAGGGTGATGTGGTTTGCGCAGAGACACCATATGCTGGGCTAAATTGCACACCATCAACCGATGCAAAAGTGCAGACTCGTTTGCTCGTGGAAATGGCGCTGCAACGCCTTGCACATGAGTTGATTCACCTCCACACGATGCTGCTGATGGATCAGGTCTACGAGACTTATGCGAAATTGGGGTACCCGAGCGAGGGGATGCTGGAGAAGAGTGGCTTTTGCTGAGTTTGATCTTGCTGCGGACGCTGCCGATGGGGTCGCTTCGCTCAGACGAAGGGATTACACTACCGCCTTGGCGTGCATTTCTCCGTGCTAGATCAGGCCATTTTTTTTTTTTCTTATTATTTCTTCATGCATCTCGTCCTTTTTTTATTTATTTTTGCTTTGTGTCTGCGTCATCGGGATCTTTCAGCAAAACTATGACGTGCACCCACGGCAGGCACACGCGTGCATGCCAACACATTGAGGAGGAGTGTTCACTCTGTTGCGTGTTTTTGTTTTTGCGTCATTATTACGTCCTGGCGTTTCCTTCCTTCTCGTTTCTTCCTTCTCGTTTCTTCCTTCACGTTTAGGATGGATTCATGCCCGTTACGCGAGCATTAATCACCAAACCCGCAGCATGGAGTTCCCTGGAGCGACGCCGCAACGCTATTACAAAACCACGCACTGAAAGTGATCTCGCCAACACATCTGACCCTGTCGTTCTTACGCATACGACCTCTCTCTCCTCAGCTCCGCATCACCATCAGGTTTCCACCCTATGGGACGAGAGGGAACATGAGGCGTCAACGAGCCCACACAAGGGACCCTGCATGTTAATTGGGTGTCATGGATATGCGGTTAACGATGGTGTGGCCCCACGTCCAAACGGATGCGAAAATACACAATCCGTGGCTTTTGTGCCACACAAAAACGAATGTGCGGAGGCGTGTTGCAGCTCCTGCGGGGCGCCCGTACCAGATGGCTCGCTGCGGCTGACGGTGTTAGACCCCTGGGGGCAAAACGAAGAAG